ATTGATAATACAGTAAATGTTGGAAATTTTGTAATACAAGTAATAAAATTAGAATTTTTTGGACAAAGTTTGGGTCATTTGAGACTCTTTAGATGTTTTGACCAATTGTTGAGTGCTTTCGCTCTTGTGTTCAGTCGATTGTTTCGATAGAGTATAATAACAGACACTCATTGAGACGATAATCACTGCAATCACTAAAATCACGGCTAATATATACCAAAGAGTATTGGATTTCGTGGGTTTTGATCGCTTTTCATAGCCTTTACAACTGATTAGCAAATGATTTCCACTAAAATTTGTACACTAATTGAATGGCAATTGTTTTTATAAGTAAATACTTATAACTAATTCACAACAAAACTTACATCTTTGAGAAAATCCTTTTGTTGTGTCCGACAATACGTAATATCTGTGCCCTCTTTGAAGAGCAATACATACTTTCCAACAACTGATCCACCAATTGGTCCGATAATAGCCATCACTTCACTCACACTTTCGGTCTCATTTGTCCACGGATTGATCCATACTCTCAATGGATTAAAGATATCCTTGAAATCAAAGCAAATATGTCTTCTATCAAATTGTTGGCTAGAATTTGCGGACACGGGTTGACCCAAAAAACACAACATTGCCGATGAGTATCGAAAAAGTACGGACGACTCAAAGTGTGTCCCTAAACCAAAGCCAATCGTACCCAACGTACCGTTTGTAGGACTTACCCATTTCATCACTTGGTTGGTATACTATCCACACATATAAAGTTGTATACAAATTGTGATTTATTTTGTTACAAAATGGTTAATCAGTTAATAGTATTCATACGTTATAGAAGCCATAGGCATGCGAGTTATTATACGACACATGCAATACATGGCTGTAAGGGGGGAAAGGTGTGTCAATAGTTAGGGCATTTGTTACATCAATGTATTGATCGGTGAAATTAGCGGCGATTGTCCACAATATTCTGTCAAAATATACCACTAGTTCCGCTCGATTAGCAAAAGCGCTGATCATTGGATAATTTTTGGGAAATTCAAATGAATTGTCGGCAAATGTTTGGCAGAAATTGTTGTCCGATTGCTGGCCATTGAGTTGCGACAAACATATCATCGCTTTGAATATAAAATGAATTTTTATTCAAAATGTATTGATTGCATGGCTTTATATACTGTACCTATCACTACATATCCGAAGAAATGCATTTGAAAACACATTTGGGACGTGTTTTGAGTAGAAATTTTAAATATTGTGCAAATAATTTCCGTTTAATTCACAAACAATTAAGACTATAAACAGTTTGATTTTTAATAATTTAAGTGATTTATAAGATTATGATATTATTTACTGAAATGTGTTTCAAACGGTTTAAAAATCTAACTTTATTTGAATTTTTGTTTAATTTATAAACATTTAAAACAATACATGTTTAATACAATTTTACCTCAATTTATTACTTATCATTTATAACAATCACTTTTAATTAAATATGTAAAGTAATTCTATGTAAAATTACTTTCACTTCTATTTGCAATATTTTTCATTATAATTGTAATCATAAATACTTTGCTTTTAACCCAATTTAACTTTAAATACAAACACATTTCTAATTCTATGCTAAATATAAGCACACATTCATACCAAACACATTTATAAATATATCACAAACACATTCCAAGTAATGCCGACCACAATATGTGGGTCAAACTGACCTCAATGGTCACTAACCATGGCTATTTAAGTCCCATACACTTTGAACACAATACACAGTACTCAATAGACAGCACACATACTGTACTTCACAGTAAAATACTTATTTTGTATCTCATCTCAATATAATTGTATTGATTTAAATAACTATAATTTTCTAACTTTTAATATTTGTTTTAAGTTATCAATTAATAAACATTTTAATTTCATTCAACCCAATACTCGACTGCAAATTATTTACTTTTAATGTGAATTTAAGTAAAAACAATCAAATAGTTTTACAAATATATAATTAATGTAAAGTAATGTAATCTTTATATATAATAATTGATACAATTTTAAAAGTTAAGAAAATTATTTTACTGTTTGGACACAGTTTTGGAAGTTTTGGAAAGTTTTGATTCTTTGGATACAGTTCTAAATGTTTTGGACACAGGTTTGGATGTCTCAGACTTCATGGTCTTTATGGTTATCCAGCCTTCAGTCGTTGAGCTCTTGTGTCGGATCTGTTGTCTCCGTTGATAACAATAATAACAGACACTCATTGAGACGATAATCACTGCAATCACTAAAACCACGGCTAATATATACCAAACAGTATTGGATTTCATGGGTTTTGAATGCTTTTCATAGCCTTTACAACTGATTAGCAAATGATTTTCACTAGAATTTTGACACTAATTGAATGCGAAATCATTTGAATAGTCATTAAAACTAATAACTAACAGATGTTAATGGGATTGTTATATACCGGTGTCCGGCAGTATTTGATCTCTCTGTCCTCAACGATCAGCTCAATATACTCTTGCAATGGATCCGTTGGATCCAATGGTCCGAATATAGCCACCATTTTATAGGATTTTGTTGTGTTCTTAATTAATGCTGATTTAGTCACGTTTCGCATATCAACAAAATCATAACAAATATATGTGACGACAAACTGATGGTCACTTTGGGGTGACTTTGTTTGGCTAACAAAGCAGACATAGTATGGGTCGGTCTTGGGTTTGAATATTATGGACGACTCAAACTCTGCCGGCAATGCAAACCGAGTGGTCTTATTGTTGGGATACATATTAGCCTTTGGTGTCCACCACTTGATCTCACTCTTCTTGAACTGTCATAAGATTATCACTTAATTTAATTGTAATTTTTATGTGTTTTCATACGTTATAAAAAGCATAAATATTTTGCTGAATACTGAATATATGGCTAATGTCTGTATTTGTCCACAAATCGTGTTCAACATTACGATAGTCTGTTTCGATATAGACTCCGGTCGGGCCAACCGTCAGAGACCAGTAGTGGTTCCCAAATATGACCAATAATTTAGGATTTATTGCCACTGTTTGACAAATTCGGTTCATTTGGTAGGAGTTGTCGGCAAATGACTGACAAAACTTTTCATCCGATTTCTGGCCATTGAGTTGTGATAAACATATCATAACTTTTAATAATATAGAAATGTTTATTAAACATGTATTGAATGCATGGCTTTATATACCTATCACTATATGTCCAAAGAAATACATTTTAAGACACATTTGAAAAGCGTTTTGATTAGAAATTTCAAAATATTGTGCAAATAATTTCCGTTTAATTCACAAACAATTAAAATTATAACTGGTTTTGCAATAAATCAAATTAAATTTTTAATAATTCAAATCATAGTTAATTTTTCATAATTTATAACAATGAATATAGATTTTAAATAAAGCTTTACATCATTTAGTAAATGTTTGAATTAATTGAAAGCATTTTACATGAATTGCAATTAAATGCTTACATTTGTATTGGCTTAAATGACAATGAAGTGGCTTGAGCAACTTCTAGTGTAACTAGAATTATTTAAATGGTATCATTATTTAAGTTGACATCTCTAGGCACCAGAATCCAAGTTTCATCAAGATTGGATGAAAATTGATGTTGCCTTAAGTGTCGGCTAAAATCATTTGATTGTCTGTGAATAGCACAGTATGTTTACTGTATTCACTTAAAACACATTTCAATAAATTAATGTTTAACTAAATATATTGGCTTAAATGATAATGAAGTGGCTTGAGCAACTTCTAGTGTAGCTAGAATTATTTAAATGGTATCATTATTTAAGTTGACATCCCTAGGCACCAGAATCCAAGTTTCATCAAGATAGGATGAATACTTATTAAACAGGAATTTTTCAAAGTTTGTCAGTCGGAATTATTTTGAAAAATTTACAACAAAATATTTGACAGAAAAATATCTCATTTTTAAAGTGAAAATATTTTTACTATAGATGTGTTTGAAGTGATTATTTGGTTATTGGGATTCACTATTAGTTATCTGACAACAGTTTAGTGTAGATATCGTGACATCAATTATAACGGGAATCAATTGCGAACCGACCGAACACAGGCCGCCAATCGGGTAAATCACCGATTTTTGTGTGGCCACAGTTGGGGTAGCGGTCAATGGCGGCCAATGAATAGCATTTGGTTCTTTGCGTTGACTAATAAATGTCTCAGAAGAGAAAGGGTTTTGAATTACCTCTATTAGAATTTAAGAATGATAATTTTAACTGTGATTTCAACCATCGGTAAATAGAAAAACGGACCCCTTCCCATAGGAATACATTAAAATGAGTGACATACTTTGGAAAAATCCTGTTCAAAATGTATTCATCCAATCTTGATGAAACTTGGATTCTGGTGCCTAGAGATGTCAACTTAAATAATGATACCATTTAAATAATTCTAGCTACACTAGAAGTTGCTCAAGCCACTTCATTATCATTTAAGCCAATATATTTAGTTAAACATTAATTTATTGAAATGTGTTTTAAGTGAATACAGTAAACATACTGTGCTATTCACAGACAATCAAATGATTTTAGCCGACACTTAAGGCAACATCAATTCATATTATGGTTCCGTCACTTTGTATTCACAAATCAGTGAGAGTTGTATGCAATCAATGCGACCAACAATTGCATTGAAACCTCTCCACAGCCTCTCAATCACGGCATTTGATTGCATGCAATCATTTAAATATTAATTTGTATTTTTTATGTTTTAATTAAAACAAATAACAAATAAGTGTTTTTAAATTAAAAATTAATGATATTTCTATAATTATTAATAACAATGATCTCACAATTCTGTGTGAAATAACATATATTATGTGAACAATATTTATTTTAAATTACTCAAAATATGAATGAATTAAAACTTATTTTATGGTTTTGTGCTTTTCGTACAACAAATCAGTAAATATGATAAAAATACAAAACATTTGTGCACATCATTGCAATCGTGATAACATCCAGGTCTTAATTAATGGACACATTATTAAAATGCATTAAAACTCGTCCTTATTATAGTTGGGATCGTCCCAGAAGTAGTCGCGACATCTGTTCCCATAATAACAATTGCGTCAAATCAATAAAAATAAATAAAATGCATGCTAAACATATCAATTATAAAATTGACCAGGGTCGTATACCTGAACCAGTAACATGATCCACTGCAGCATGTTGATTTCATGAAGGGGAACGGAATGCAGGGGGCAGTGGGCGCACCGCAACCCTCCACCAGCTTTAGCACAATAGGCATCACAACAAACAATAGGATCGCAACCGCTGTCCGCAAATTCTGATACATTTCTAATGACTTTGTAATTAATTTCAACAATTTGTGCTCAAAATACTGTATTCAGTGAATAATTTGCGCTAAAACTACTTAAAACACTAATTAATTGAATATAATTTTACAAATATTTATTATTTTATTTACTAAATAATGTGCCCTAAAATACTTGTTATAAACAGTTATATAAACGCAATACTGATTGTCATTATAATAAGTTTGTAATAAATCAATACTTAAAACATCGGTTGCTATCAACAAATCTGTTGTACAAAAAATATATATTTATTATTTCTTTTATATTTAAATATTAATTTTCTCAGAGAGAGAGAGAGAGAGAGAGAATAGATAAGACTACGCCAATAGTAAATACAAGTAATAAAATTAGAATTTTTTGGACAAAGTTTGGGTCATTTGAGACTCTTTAGACATCGATTGATCACTTATTGCTCTCTTAACATTAATTAATAAGCGTTTGCCTTATGTTTTGGATAGAAAGTGAACCCATCGGGCACTTTACCCAAAAACATTTCGCTAATCTTCAGCCAATCAGCGCACGACCCGCTGGACAGTAGGGTCTCGAGTTCATTACGGCCCACGAAAGGGGGCGGGCGTTCATTAATGCGCTGTGGGAGGCGCTCGAGCACACCCACCGGTATATACCTACACAAAAACGAGAGCCACTCGAGCAAAAAGCGCCGCGTTTTAGTCACCCCCTCGTCATCGGAGCCCCAATTCTCGAGCCCGTAGTTCGCAAACTCGCGCACAATGTCCAGCCGTTCGGCGGCACTAATATCCCACACCCGGCGCTCCTTAATCTCGGTAAAAATCCACGGCTTAATCAGCGCACCCCTGGCTATCATCACGCCGTCGACGGCGCCCGAGTCTAGCCTTTCGTAGTACTCTTCGTGTCCCAACACATCGCCGGAGCCGAACACAGGTATGGGTCGGCCCAGAGCCGAGCACTCGGCGATGTAGCGCCAGTCGGCGTGTTTGGTGTACCGCTGTTCGCGCGACCGGCCGTGGATTGTCATCAAACCGATGGGTCCCGGAGCTGTCGGCGAGCCGTCGCCCCACTCTTTGACCGCAGCGATCACTTTGTGGGCGATATTCTTGTGCTGATAGACACCGGTTCTCATTTTGAGCGTTAGGGGGCAGTCAATCACCGAAGACAT